AAGAGATTCAGGCAGAATCGCAGATGGTGCTTGACAGGCTGACAAAGAAAGATTTCCAGGGATGCTTCCAGGCTTGGCAGCGGCGCTGGGATCGTTGTGTTCACTCCAAGGGGAACTACTTCGAGGGTGATGGATGAATTTAATACCTGAGATAAGTGTACGGGTTTTTATAGGCGCAGTCTTGAAACTTTCCAATCGCACCTCGTACGTCTTATTAATGCAGTTACAGTTTACGTCTGATTAGCATTACCTAGTCATTTGGCCTTTGCTTTAACGATACGGACTGAACGCAACATCGCCCTGCCTGCTTTCACTCTACCCCCTTCCTCTCGCCTATTTTTCGCGCGTTGTATTCAAGGCCCTGAGTAAGAAGTAAGATCCTCTGAAACGTCGGGCTGTTTCTACGTCACCACACGGTGCAGCATCCGCAAGATCGCGGATAACTTGACCGGAAATGATTCACATCCTAGAGCATTTCGAAAGTAACAGTTTGTGATTATACAGTCCTGAACAAACAAACAAAGAAACAAACCATCGATTTTCCTCGTATTTGTAACATGCGTCGCCATAACGGATGACGAAGATCATATCGTCGATGACTTCTGCGTTTATGTTAATAAATTTGAAGTCCATGTCAGGGATATCTGCCAAAGGGAACTTATTCTATCCCCATAAGCGGGGCCAGTTTCCTAGGTAACCATTGTTGTAGATTTGTTGATATCGATCTTACACATTTTTGTGACCCAACTTCGTTACACATTTTCGTTATATTTTTTTGCCGAATTACCCTTCCGTATAGTCGTGTTTACGTCAAAATGCTGTTCATAAAATCTCAGTCACTCAAAGAAAACCAGGGAAACATTTCACAATAGCAAGTTCTGTGAGAAGGATAGAGTTGCATCAATCAGAATGTCCAGCGTTCTCACCTAGGGCGTACAGATAGCCGTGGAACGGGACGCAAGCAAACCACCTACGTTCAGAAAGCATTGGTGCAACGAACGTCCATCGGTCGGTGTCCGGGTCATAAACTTCCACCGTGTTTAGAAAATCCGTATCATCAATTCCACCAGCGACGTATATTTTGTCTGTAAAAAGAAATTACCTATATGACACGAACTGTACACATATTTGGTGTAGGCAGAGGCATTATACCGGATCATGCAGAGCACAAACTTGGGACAATCCGTAATTAAATTTGTAAATCAATTAATGTCCCTCTTCGTGTCACAGAAACTGCACAGACACGGCTGTCTCTGTTCATCTGTTTCTTTGTTTCGAATGCAGACAAACATTTTGTGTCAAAGTAAACGAGTTTAAATGATAAAATTTAATATAAACAGCATAAAGTACTTAAATTAATGCATAATGGAAATGATGGTAGGTTACAACTTCTGAGAAACGAATTTTATTAAATTTGGTGCCAGAGATGTACGGTACGAGCTGCTCTACACTTATAATACAATGTGCTATTTACATGAGATTATTTATTAACTGTCTCAAAAACTTATTACATCTGTATTATATGAGAGCCAGTTTGATAGTTTGATGGTTGTTTGCATTCACTCCTAGTGTACACTAAAAAGGCAGAAGAGGAAGAACAGAGACAGCCAACGAGAAGCAGAAGAAACCATCACGCACTCAGAACTTCAAGCCGTTGGA